CTTCTCTCAGTCCCCTCACTCTCCATGCTCTCACACACCACAGGACCTTTCAACAGGCCATTCCATTAGCCTTGAATGATTTCCCTCTACCTAGTTGTCTGCTCACCTTTCAGATCTGCTCACCTTTCAGATTTCACATCCTCAATGGCCCCATTCCCCAAATCGAAATTCTCCCTCATACACATGTAAAACACCATGATCACCTTTGAAGCACCTACCGAACTTGCAATTTCACTTTTGCGTGCTATTTTTAAATTAATTATTATTATTATTTTGAAACAGAGTCTGTCTCTGTTGCCTAGGCTGGAGTGCAATGGCGCAATCTTGGGGTCACTGAAACCTCTGCCTCTTGGGCTCAAGCAATACTCCTGACTTAGCCTCCTGAATAGCTGGGACCATAGGCACATGCCACCACGTCAGCTAATTTTTTGTATTTTGGGCAGAGATGGGGTTTCACTACGTTGCTAATGCTGGTCTTCAACTCTTGGAGTCAAGTGATCCACCTGCCTCAGCAGTGAGATTACAGGTGTGAGCCACCACCAGCCTGTGATTTTTAAAATACCTTCTACTTCCTCAGTAAAACTTCAGAGCACAGGAACCATCCCTCCTTGCTGCTTACAGTTGCCTAGCTCAGTGCTTGGTACATGGTAGGCACTCAATAACTATTTGAATGAATAGATGAATAAACGAATATGTGAAAGCACCTTGTAGAACACCACGCATGCAATAGATGTTAACTTCCTTCTTTTCACCATTCAGCAAAAATTTTCGCTTAATTTCTCCTGCTTTGAAATATAGTTTGATTGGCAAATAATTAAAAGCAAAACTTAACTTTAGAAAGTCATAACCCAATAACTCAAAACAACACATTTGTAACTATTTATTTGCCTGGCGATAACTACAAATGCCTAAAAGTTTGCCTCCATTCAGAGAGTTCTACATTAGAAAAGTCTTAATTTTCTAAACAGACAAGTGATAAGATTATCATTTTCTGAAAATATCCTGAAATCAGTCTGTTGTTTTACAGGTGTTTGTAATTGTTGACCAGGTAAACCTTGTGTGAATCCCTAAAAACCCACTGCCAGTACTGAAAATCAATCCACAGGCCACATGGAAATGATATCACATTATAATTATTTTTTGTATTTTTATGCATTTATTTTTTATTTATTAATATTCTTTGAGATAGAGTCTCACTTTGTTGCCCAGGCTGGAGTGCAGTGGCATGATCATGGCTCACTCCAATCTCTATCTCCCGGGCTCAAGCAAACTTCCCACCTTAGCCTGTGAAGTAGCTGGTATGACAAGTGCATGCCACCACATCCAGCTAATTCAAAAACACTTTTTTTTTTTTTTAGAGATGGGGTCTTGCTATGTTGCCCTGGCTGGTTTCAAACTCCTGGGCCCAAGTGATTCTCCCTCCTCAGCCTCCCAAAGCACCGGGATTACAGGTATGAGCCACTGCACCTGGCCCTATAATTAATAAAGGGTTGACATAAACTTTCTAGTTCATTTAAAGTTTTTTATCTCTAAATCATTGTCATCACATGATTTGTGAGTCCGTAAATCTGGGTGAGATAGTGGAAAAACTCTGGGCTTGGAATCAGAAAGCTGTAAACCTACTTTACAAGGTTATTGCAAAGATTAAGTGGGGGTAATAATTTTGTTAAAAATAATCTCTCATCTGTTAAACACATACCTCACATTGTAGATGGAGCTAACTCTGTTACATTATTGTCAATTAATTCTATAAAAAAAGACTATGGGCCAGGCATGGTGGCTCATACCTGTAATCCCAGCACTTTGGAAGGCCAAAGTGGGTGGATCTCTGAGCTCAGGAGTTTGAGACCAGCCTGGGCAACATGGAGAAACCCCATCTCTACCAAAAACGCAAAAAATTAACAGGGCATAGTGGGGCACACCTGTGGTCCCAGCTACTTGGGAGGCTGAGGTGGGAGGATTGCTTGAGTGTGGGAGGTGGAGGTCTCAGTGAGCCAAGATCACACCACTGTATTCCAAACTGGGTGACAGAGTGAGACTCTGCCTCAAAAAACAACAACCAAAAAAAATCTTACGAAATATGTATTATTACCCTACTATACAGATGAAGAAATTGAGGCTCTTGGAGATTGACAATCTGGCCCAAGATTGTACATCCCATCAAGCTGCAGGGCTAAGATGCACGAAAAAGGGCTCTAGCTAGGATGTATGTAGCTGTAACTTGCTATAAAAATTAAGGTGTCTTATTACAAAATATCTCTGAAATGACAGTTCCTATTAATATTCCTATATATTCCTCCTTCCTATGTATCCATATCAGACATCCTTATCAGACATTGTAAATCAAATTAAATTAGAGGCAGGGAGGAGCCTGATCTCAGCCATCAGACCATCATGTGTGCAAACTGCTTACTCTGCCCCGCGTTTTTGTTCCCAGTTTCTTTTCTTTTTCTTTCTTTCTTTCTCTCTCTCTCTCTTTCTCTCTCTTTCTTTCTTTCTTTCTCTTTCTTTCTTTCTTTCTTTCTTTCTTTCTTTCTTTCTTTCTTTCTTTCTTTCTTTCTCTCTCTCTCTTCTTTCTTTCTTTCTCTCTCTCTCTCTTTCTTTCTTTCTTTCTTTCTTTCTTTTCTTCCTTCCTTTCTTCTTTTCTTCCTTTCTTCCTTCCTTTTTTTTTTTTTTTTTTTGACAGGGTCTTGCTCTGTCTCCCAGTGTGCAGCAGCGTGATCTTGGCTCACTGCAATCTCTGCCTCCCATGTGATTCTTATGTCTCAGTCTCCTAAGTAGCTTGGATTATAGGTCTAAGCACCACTCCTGGCTACGCCATGTTGCCCAGGCTGGTCTTGACCTTCTGGGCTCTAGTGATCTGCCCACCTTGGCCTCCCAAAGTGCTGGGATTACAGGTGTGAGCCGTCACACCCGGCCCCCAGTTTCCATATTAGTAACTCACATGTAGACCACAAGGATGCACCATTTAGAAAACTTGCAATGGTCCACTTTTCAAATCACCCAAATATGCTAAAGAAATTGGTATGACTGTTGACTCACAACAGGAGGCAGGGGCATGGGGTGGGGTGTAAGATTAGTGTCGTGACAAATGTGGAAAAGAAACTTCTTCTCCTGTTTTTCCAACTCCATCTCTGCTACCATATTATTACACTCTTCTGGTAGTGTGGTGTTTATGCGTGAATTTTTCTTCTTATATATACAGTAATTGTAGGATATAAACCTGATTCCAGTTGCAAACTTCACTATGAGCTTAGCTTTTAAGTTGCTTAAGAATAGTTGGATCTATGCAAATAATGATAATTATTATTATTTGAAGAGAGTGACTCACTTTGTCACCCAGGCTGGAGTGCAGTGGTGTGATTAACGATCACTGCAACCTCCACCTCCCAGGCTCAAATAAACCTCCCACCTCAGCCTCCCAAGTAGCTGGGAATACAGGCACGGCCCACCATGCCCGGCTAATTTTTTGTATTTTTTGTAGAGATGGGGTTTCATCATGTTGCCCAGGCTGGTCTTGAATTCCTGGGCTCAAGCAATCCTCCCAACTTGGCCTCCCAAAATGCTGGCATCACAGGCATGACGGCATCACTGGCATCACATACCATGCCTGGCCTGATCTATGCAAATTTTCAAAATAATCAATTTTTATTTGTTGCTTTATTGGTGGTACAATCTCCAGTGGAAAAATCTAAGGGTTTTGGTGTTATTTGCTTACTCAACCAATATTTATTAGACTCTTACTAAGCACCAAGCATGGTCACATGCCTGAGCTGTGGCTAGCACAGTGTATAAGACAAACTTAATCTCTGTTTTCGTGGCGCGTATAATCTAGTAGATGAAGCCTATGTTGAGCAACATCACAATACTAACAAATTGAGGATGCTATGAGAGTGTCTAACAAATTGAGTGTAACAAATTGAGGATGCTATGACAGTGTGCCATAGGGACTTCAGCCACCTGGGGATTGAGAGAAAGCTTCCTTGAGGGAAGGTACATTTCAGCTGAGACACACTGCCGTCTGCTCTAGGTTTTGGGTTTTGTAACTGCATTCACATCCCGATTCTGACACTTCACCCAGTTATTGTCTCAGAGCTTGGGTCCGCAGGTGTAAAACAAGGACAGTATGTACCTTGGCAGGGTTGTGAGAAGGGGAGAGAACACAAGTAAAGCACCTGTATCAGCCATACAGTAGGCACTAAGTGTGCAATGCTTGCTGTGATTATACATCATTGTAAGCGTCAAGAGAAAGCTGAAGAAAAGTCTGACCAACAGCGAAAGATAAACGTGCAGAGGAGAAATTTGTCAAAGTTTCCAAATTCAGGGGCAGTCCGTATTCCACATTTTGTTTGGGGGCTTCAGGTCCTGAGTTCCAGACATTGGAGCAATTAACAGTTTAAGATTGCTAAATATTGTCTTCATGAGAAGTTGATAAGGAATTTTGGGTGGTTGATCTCTTTCTAGCAGCAGTTCAGCGTATGCTGAGGCCAGATTTTTTCAAGCAAAAGTAAAATACCTAAGAAACTGCCTGGCCAGAGGACAATCAGATTTTGGCTGGCTCAAGTGACAAGCGTTTATAAGCTAGATGGGAGAGGAAGGGATGAATACTCCATTGGAGGTTTTACTCGAGGGTCAGAGGGAGACCCGGCGCCACCAGAATGGGACCTGAAAGTGGGAAACGCTGGGTTCCCACGAGAGCGCGCAGAACACGTGCGTCAGGAAGCCTGCTCGGGAATGCCCAGCGCTGCTCCCCGGGCGCTCCTCCCCAGGCCTCCTGGGCGCTTGGATCCCGGCCATCTCTTCAACCTTCAAGTGGGTGTGGGTGATTTCGTAAGTGAACGTGACCGCCACCGAGGGGAAAACGAGCAAGGAAGTAGGAGACAGCCCGGCAGGCGGGGCGGGGTTGGATTGGGAACAGTGGGAGGGATGCAGAAGAGGAGTGGGAGGGATGGAGGGCGCAGTGGGAGGGGTGAGTAGGCGTAACGGGGCGGAGGAAAGGAGAAAAGGGCCCGCGGGAGGAAGTGCTGGAGCTCTCGACTCTCCGCTGCGCGGCCGCTGGCGGGGGGAGCTGCCAGGTGAGCCTAAGATGCTGCTGCGCTCGAAGCCTGCGCTGCTGCCGCCGCCGCCGCCGCTGCTGCTGCTGCTCTTGGGGCCGCTGGGTCCCCTCTCCCCGGGCGCCCTGGCCGGACCTGCGCAAGCACAGGACGTCGTGGACCTGGACTTCTTCACCCAGCAGCCGCTGCACCTGGTGAGCCCCTCGTTCCTGTCGGTCACCATCGACGCCAACCTGGCCACGGACCCGCGGTTCCTCATCTTCCTGGGGTAAGCGCCAGCCTCCTGGTCCTGTACCTTCTCCTGTCCTCCTGACACCTATGTCTGCCCCGCCAGCCACTCTCCTTTTGCGCGGAAACAACTTCACACCGGAACCTCCCCGCCTGCCTCTCCCCACCCCACTTCCCGCCTCTCATTCTCCCTCTCCCTCGCTTACTCTCTGACCCCAAACCTCTTTTTGGGGGGTATCATTTAAAAAATAGATTTAGGGGTTACAAGTGCAGTTCTGTTCCATGGGTATATTGCATTGTGGTGACATCTGGGCTCTTAGTGTAACTGTCACCTGAATGGTGTACATTGTATCTAATAGGCACTTTCTCATCCCTCATCCCTCTCCCACCCTCCCCACCTTTTGGAGTTTCCAGTGTCTACTATTCCACTAAGTCCGTGTGTACACATTTTTCGCGCCCACTCTAAATGAGCCTTTTTGTTTCATTCATTCTGTAAGTATTGAGTAAGCACCACCTAAGGTCAGGTATAAGTGGAAATTTGAAAAAAGAAACTGCCCACTTGCCCCAGTACTTCCCTCGCCAGGAGGAGGGAAACCGGGCAGGTGCACCTGGAGGCCTGTGAATGCTTGAATTGCTGTGCAGTGTAGGACAAGTAAGAGTGTGCAGAGGCTTCTGTCTTTTAAACTCTGTTAGGAGATTTCTTTTTCTTTTCTTTTTCTTTTTCTTTCTTTTTTTTTTTTTTTTTTTTGCTTGCAGCTGCAAAGGGCATCTAGAACAAGAATAAAAATCTAAATATTCAATAAATGAGACCTAGGAGACTACTGCAGTGACTTACAAAGTCCTAACAAAAAGATGTCTCTCCAAAATGGGGCTGCAAAATGTGGTGCTGCCTTATCAACTCCAAGTTTTGTTCTTGCCTGAGAAAGAAGGAACCTGATGCAGGTTCAAGGCTTCTGCCCTATAGCTGTTAGGGAAAATGGGTAAGTTTAGAACTCAATTTAGAATCCAATCCTTAGCTGGGTGCGGTGCCTGTAATGCCAGCACTTTGGGAGGCTGAGACAAGAGGATTGCTTGAGTCCAGGAGATCAAGACAAGCCTAGGCAACGTGGCGAAGCCCCATCTCTACAAAAAATTTAAAAATCAGCCAGATGTGGTGGTGTGTGCCTAAAGTCCTAGCTACTCAAGAGGCTGACACAGGAGAATCGCTTGAGCCCAGCCGGTCAAAGCTGCAGTGAGCTGAGAGTGAGACTGTGTCTCACAAAAATCATCCATTCCTTGAGGATGTGGTCAAAGGTCATCATAGTCCATTTTCCCTCCAAACATTCCTTGGACTACAACCCTCCTCATTTCTGCATAATCCTGATATCTTCTATATTTTTGCCTTTTTCTTCATATTTTATAATTTCATATGACTGGGAGACTAAGATCCATGACTCCAAGATGGGGAGCTACAGCGACAATCCCAGGTCTTCTGGTCTCTTATTTAGGCCCTGGGAGCCTCCAGAGTTGGCCACATCTTGACCAGCCCAGATGGAGGGAAAGATCACCACTATCTCACCTCTGTGTTAAATACCTAGGTGCTGTCCTCCCTGAGCCCACACGATAGTTGCCAGTGCTAATTTAATGGGTAGTGTACTGGTTAAGAGATGGACAGACCGTCCTGGCTTGACTCTCAGCTCTGGCAAAGATGAGTGGCTTGGTTTTTCCATGTCTCTTGGCCACACCAACCTTGATTTCTTCCACTGTAAAATGGAATTTCTCAAGCTTGCCTCAAGGATTATTGCCCGAAGATTTGATGATATGGTAAGAGCTTCACAGTGTTTGGCCCATAGTAAGTGTTTGACATTCAAACGAATTGTTTCTTCCTAGGACATGGTGAGCATTTGGTAGCCATTCACCAGTTTTCTGTTTTCTTTGAATCATAGTTAACCTCTCCTTTCCCTTGTGGCACTAGAATTTTCTGGTGGGGAAGAATCCTCACTTTTTGCCCTTCCTTTTAAGGATAGGAAGCTGATACTAGGCAGCAACTAGTTGGGGGATAGGAAGATTACTCCAGAGAAATACTGAACCACAGGGCTCCAGATCTCAGGACCCTGGTCTTAGCTTGCTGGAGTGTGGGGTGGCGGTGGCGGGGGGGGGCGGCGGGGGGGGTTACTGAAAATGGGTGTGAAGTAGATGTCCATTTACTGAAATATGAGGACCCAAGGCCTCTTCTACTGCTGTAGCCAGCATATTCCCCAACCTCTCCCCAAGAAAGGACAGACGTGGGTTCACCTCTGGAGTAACAGGTCCAAAAGCAAAAACATACAGTATGACTTCCAGGGTCTGGGCCTGATCACCCAGCAGTCAAGCTCCCCGCAATCGACTGACACCCCTCTAACACGTAGAACTTCCAATCTGCAACTTAGTGAGGATGATACCTTTATTCTTCTTAAATACATCTCTTCATTTCCCAGAGCACCCTTTCCCCCCCTCCTCTGCACCTTTTTGTTAAAGACTGGAGTATAATGAAATACCAAGAGAGCATAATGTGTGATACATAAAACTTTCTTTCTGGTTTACAAAACAGTTTATTCATGTCCATACGTGCTTCTCTCCAAGGCTGGCTGCTGTCTAAAAGAGGCAGGAACCCCCTCTCCTCATCTAAGACCTAGCTTCTAAATCGGAGTGTGAGGGTCCATCTCCCCAGGAGGGGCACAGGGCCCAATCAGCCCAGCCGTCTCAGAAGACAACACTAAGCTTTGTAGAGGAGAGTAAGACGCCTGTTGTTTAATTTATTACAGTTCCTCAAAAGTGAAGATGTGTGGGCGGGATGGCAAAAGCTGAGCAGACGAAAGCTGAAGGAATAAGGAAAGAGAGGAGGACACAAACAGCTGACACTTCCTCAGTTCTTGTCATTTGCCTGGCCCTGTTCTAAGCACCTTCTAGGTAGTAATCCATTTGGTCTTGGCTACAACACTATGAGGTGACTACTTTTATCATCCCCATTTTAAAAATGAAGAAATTGAGGCTCAGGGAGATTAACGAACTTGGCCGCTGTTTGAAACTAGACTCTGATCACATGAGATAATAGTGCCCATAAAAAGGGAAAGCAGATTATATTTTTTAAAGGAAAGAGAGTAGGATATGGTAGAAAAAGATTGTTTGGAAAGGAATTGAGATATTGATATAATGAAAAGCAGCATTCACATGAGAGTAACAGTTTCAGGGCCCAAACCTTCATCTAAGGTACTTCAAAGAAGCCTAAGCAAACTTAGTCATATGGTGTGGTTCTAGTCTCCATGAAGGCAAATACATGGTGTACAGCCCAACTGCACACAAAACCTAAATACCAATGACAGAGCAATCTAAAATTTAAAAAAATAGAACTTTCGATTTGTTGTCTTCCCAGAGGGACTTAATCAAGAAACCAATCAAAATACTTCCTGAGCCCAACTGTGTGCAGAACTCCAGAGAGAGCCTGGTCCTGAATCAACACTGTCCAATGGAAATATAATATAATGTGGGCCTCATATGCAAGGTCATACGTAATTTTAAATTTTCTAGTAGCCATATTAAAAAGGTAAAAGGAAACAAGTGAAATTAATTTAATAATTTTATTTAGTTCAATATATCCAAAATGTTTTCTCAGCATATAATCAATATAAAAATATTAATGAGATATTTATTATTCCTTTCCTCAAACCAGTTCTCTATAATCTGGCATGTATTACTTATAGCACTTCTCAGACTATATTTCTTTTTTTTTTTCCAAGACAGTTTTGCTCTTGTCACCCAAGCTGGAGTACAATGGCATTACCTCGGCTCACGGCAACCTCTGCCTCCCAGGTTCAAGTTATTCTCCTGCCTCAGTCTCCCAAGTAGCTGGGACTAGAGGTGTGTGCCACCACTCCTGATTAATTGTGTATTTTTAGTAGAGACAAGGGTTCACCATGTTGGTCAGGCTAGTCTCGAACTCCTGACCTCAGGTGATCTGCCCACCTTGGCCTCCCAAAGTGTTGGGATTACAGGCATGAGCCACTGCGCCCGACCTCAGATTAACTACATTTCAAGCACTCAGTAGTCACATGGTAGTGGACACATGTGGTAGTGGACAGTACAGATCTGCATTTCAGTTAAGATACATATGCAAGCATAGTTCACTAATGCACGGTAAAAAAAAAAAAAAAAAAAAGTATAGTGCTGAGTTAGTGGTAGAAATCCTAACTACTGCAGAGCAAAAGTGGTACGAACAGCAATCTCAGTGATAATGCAACCAACCATGTTTGCTTTTCATTGCAATTTGCTTATTTTCCTTCAGCAAAGTTTATCTCTTTTTGCCAATTCAATAAATATTTACTGATAAAAACTTTCAGTATTAGATTCTTGCATCTTCGTAGACAGAGTTGCTTTTCCCATTTGGAAAATTACTTATCATTGTAAACACATGTTTTGATAACCAGTGTTGGAAAGAGGCGCAGATCCCCCATGTGCCTACTGATGGCAGAAATATCCACGGCCAAAGGGAAACAAAGGGCTGGGGACAATCACACACCTCATGTCTCCTAACTCCTGGGAAGTGCTGTCCCTCTGATTGAGCTCTTATCATCCCTTCCCCACTAACCCTATCCACTGTGCCCTGGAGCCCTTTGTGGGGTAACCCTGCTCTGTCCTCCTCACAGAATATCTTCTCTACCTCCTTGTCCAAGCTACAACTTGGCTCCTCTCTGAAGACACTGTCTTCCCTGTAGCCCTTTTGAGTAGTGGCTGCACATTCTCCCATAGTCCAGTTCTTTTCCCGTTCTCCAGTCCAGCTTCTGGATGACAGCCCACTAGTTTGAACTCCACACTGCTGTAGTTCAAATCTCTTTTGACTTGTTACCTTGGGCAAATTACCTCCTTTTGTTCAGATTCCTTGTTTGTAAAATGACGATAATAATGCCACTTCTTCACTGGGTTATTTTGAAATTAAGTGAAAGAAGGCAGGTCAGTTCCCTACACACTCAGTACGGACTAGGCTGATTAGCATTACGGATGATGCCATGACGCAGTGTGTGGTTC